CCATGGTCTAACACAGATAGTGTGCTGGAGAATAATTCGATTCCTACATTGTACTGAAGCTTGACAATAAAAACAATATAGACTGCCTGAAGTAAAGCAACAAAGATCTTTATCTTTTGTGTCAATTTCAAGAATGATTAACTCTCAAATAATTTTGAACAAGGGATATTTAGATTTTTTTTCTGGCACTGCTAAAGTTTAAAGAATTCTAAAACCATTCACTGTTTTTAAAATAATGATTAAATACATTTCTAAGAGGATCAATAATTTTTCTTAACAAGAAAGAAACACAAAATGGCATAAGAATGTTTTATGAAAATCATTTATGGTCCCAAATATTTTTCACGTAAACCTTCCTTTTCAGACATCTCTGTTTTCCTGTGTATTTTTATATGTGAAGTTTTAAAATTATCTCCTGGTCATTTCTATTAGAAAAACCCAAGCTTCTGTGTTTGATGTTCAGTGTAATAATTAATAAAAAATCAGTCACTTTGTTTAATAAATAATACATTCTGAAATAATGCTGGTTATATAATTTCTTAAATTCTCTCCTCTATCTGATCCTTGACCCAATTCCTGCCCCTACTGTATTTTGTAATGGTCTGTCTCCACATATGTTTTAATTTCAATAGTTATAATTTAATTTATATATCCTGTGCTTGCAGTAATAAAGAAATATGGGGGGCACCAATTTCAAAGTGCTAAAAAAAATATACACCTGAAGAACAGGCCTGGAAATTCCCTTGGTGTTTGTTTGAGCTAAAGTACCCTAGTGCTTACAAAGTCCTGTAAATCAGGAGCCAGAGTAAAGACCTAGTGACTCCTTGCTTCACACATTTTCATCTTCTGGCAAGCAGATGTTGGGAATATAATGAGCTGACCTCTTTAAAAAGACATTCCTTCTACCAACTTTCCTCTTGGTCTGCTACATAAAGAGTCCATAGTTAATATTTCTTTCTCACAAAAATATCTGAGTTTCAATCACCCTAAACCTTTAGGAAGCAGTAAATTCCTTTTAGTTGTTAACATTTTATACAACTCAGCCTTACTGTTACTGATGCACAGGCTTAAGGTTAGTGTGAATGTTCCATAATTGAAAAGCCACCACTTTATGGGTAATCCACAGAAATATATGGAGTGATTTAGGATTACTAAAGACCAATATTCTTTTGAACCATGTTCTCTATATATATTAATAAATAAGAATATTTATTGAAAGTGACATTTGTGCAATAAAATTAAAGTAATTATTAAAATTTGGTTGTTTTGATATTAATTTACTTGACATATTGCTGAATAAGACCTTATGATTGGTAATGGTTTACAGCTCACTTGGTATATGGAAAAACAACAAAAGTCTCATAGTACCAAAACACACAGTATAAAGAACACTTTAACTACTTAGTAGCTTCTCTCTTATTAACAAGGCTTCAGTATAGTCTCAAGTCTACAGAAACCACTCGATGCAGATGCACTCTGGTATCCTGGAAAGCCAGTCTCTGAAAGAAAAGATCATCCACATGGGCATTCTCAACTGAACCTATACAGATAGGTGGTAGATTTCCTCTACCCTTCCCTATGGAAATGGAGGCCTTGGACTCAAACATGCCAGTGCCCCTGGCATGACTACTGTATTTCTAATTTTAGAAATCCATAGGTTTGTGGCTGGAGAAATGGCTCAGCAGTTAAGAGCACTGACTGCTCTTGCAGAGGACCCGGGTTCGATTCCCAACACCCACATTTGGGCTACGAACCGTTCTTAACTCCAGTTCCAGGGGAATCTGAAACCGTCTTCTGACCTCCGAGGCATTGCATGACATGGGTGCACTCACATACATGCGGGCAATACACTCATACACATAAAAAAATTAAATTAAAAAAAATACATAGGTTTGGGGTTGGAGAGTTGGCTCAGCAGTTAAGAACATTGGCTGTTCTTACAGATCTGGGTTTGAATCTCAGCACCCACATGGCAGCTAACAACCGTCCATAACTTCATTTCCAGGGAATCCAACACCCTCCTCTGTCCTCCACAACATTGCAAGTCATGGGTGCAATTTCACATAGGAAGGCATAACAATAAATAACATAAAAAAGAAATACATAGGTTCATGGTAGGTGACAGCCAGAAATATCCCAGTATATACACTGATTGAAATTACTCAGTGTCCAATGCTCACAAATTACAGTTAAGATTAAATTTACTGACATCCATCAGTTTGGATTTGTGCCCTTTCTTATAACTTATTAAGTTGACATACTGATTTGCACATCATAATTACTGGGTATTTAATAATATTAGTGTGCCTTATCTTTGAGTTAATATGAATTTCCCAAACTTATAACCTGAGGCTCTGCTCTGTAATACATTTACTGAAATCAATGTCAGGTTGGGAGGACCCTAGACACTCTGCCCTACTATTAGCAATATACCCACTTTATCAAACACGTGGAAGCATCCTTAAGGTTGCAGAATACATCATAGCAAACATATGTGTACTATATGTATCTTTATTTCCTGAATAAGTCTATTACTATCATTCATTATTCCTAGTAAGTTTTTAATTGAGAAGTACAAACGGGACGTTTTGGGGAAATATTTACTTGAAGAAAGTAGAGTTCATAAGATACACCCAAAGCCAAAATATTCTAAACATCAAAAATTCTGGATTCTACTCTCTCCCCAGGACTCTGTCCCCTTTGAGCCCAGGTCTATTCTTGCTCTTCTGCCTCAAATCTCTAGAGTAACTTCCAAACACAGCCTAGATTAATCATCTAGGGTAGTTTGTTAGACCCTCAAGAGGCTGTCTCTACCCTCATCTTGTCTTTGCCCCCCTGATCTGCCTGCTTACCTGACAAGTATACTGCACACCACTCATAAAAGAAGCTTCTTTTTGTAACAGATGGAGGCTATTACAGAATTCCACATCTGGTCACACATGGAGAATATACTGTGTGAGAGATACTCAGCCCTAAGTGACACAACCGCAGTGGGACCTCTACACCTAAGGCTCATGGAACACAGCAGGACAGAGGGTAGAGAGAAAACCAATACATCCCTCAGCTCTCACCAGCAGTTTCCTCATGTAACGGAGAGAGATACACACAGAGGCCACAACTGGCTAAGTTTTAGAGAAGAGAACAAGAGCGAGACTGCAGAGTGTGTGTCCCTGGGTAGGACTCCTATGGTAATCCTCATCCACCCATGGCTCAGATACCATTGTGGTAGAGGGAGCAGAAAAATTGATAGTCATGAACATAAACAACCAGAGACTTTCAAGACACTGGGAACTTGCTCATATGAACTTGAAATAATACTAACATGATGCACAAGTACTATGCTGCCTCAATCAGACAAAAAACCCAGCATAGATCTTGGGAAATGAGGAGCAGACCCCAACTCTAGCCTAGGAACTATTGGTAACTGATGACTGCAGGGTGAGGGAGAGTAGATCTTCTTTAAGGGGTGGAGTGACTTAGCCTTCAGTGGATGAACTTGCATTGAGAGATGTCTGGGTACAAATGCTTGATTGGATAGGATATAACACATATAACAGAATGCAGAAAATCAAGCAGGGGCCTATAGGGGAAGAGATGGGGGAGGGGTTCTAAATTTGATTAAGATCTATTATATGAAATGCACAAAACCCAATTAAAAAATAATATATATATTTAAATTCTGGAATTAACTTTACAGAAAGCAATACCAGATATGAACTGAGCTAAGGCTGTTTCAAAGAAATTGTGCACATTATTTACTGCAAAGACATACATAATTCCTTAAGGGGATATTAATGCATTGATAATACAAGCTGTGTGTAATGTTCTGATTATTTTCTGGAACACACTTTTCTAAAACAGTGTATCGAGCTCTGAGGATTTCAGATAAGAGGTTGTGAACCCATTCTCTTTTCTGTCACATATTCAAAGAACAGTCATCAATATCTTATGTAAGCTAAGTTCTTAAACAGGTACAAATATGTTAATGATCTGGCACAGCAAATAAGAAGGCAGAATAAAGTAAAGAGAGACATTGAACTAGAGATGGCATCAAATTTTGGCTTTGATGTTAATTAAATATGTAAAGCTGGCCATATTGCTGTTCCTTTGGGAACCTCACTGTTCCCATCTATTCAAAGGGTTGTTGCTGCATTAAATGAGATGATGGAGTAGACAATGGTTGAGATTTGTGAAAAGTAACTGCAATGGAAAACTACAGCTGCTATTTTGCTGTTATAGGAGTTATGATCACTAATACTGTGGCTACATTCATAGAAGGATATTGTGCTTCACATTTAGAAGCTCAGAGTGCTTACAACTTTAGTTTTTCTGCTTCAGATATTTTACAACTTTAGTTTTTGTGCTTCAAATATTCTGGCATGGGAAGATCAGCTCTTCCTCACCCAGCAGTAACCAGCTGCCAATATTTCCTCATCTAAGATTGTAGTCTGCTGTTCATTTCCCTGATTCTATGCTGGGTTTTTGTCTGCCTGAGTTTGTATGGGAGAAATAAATATACTTCAAATTACACTCTAAACCAGTGAGATTGTTCATACTATTTTAAAAGATAAATAAATATATTCCATGGAAACCAAATAGAAATGATTATATTTAATTATTATACTAGTTTATTTTTAAATTTTGTGTCCAAATGGCTAACAAACGTCTTAACGGACGATTTAATTTGGCCAGTTTTAAAGGTATGGATCTAGTCTACTGTGGTATCAGTTGCAGTGCACACATGTTGAATCAGCTGTTGGCAGTCAAAAAAGCAAGTGCAGAGAGAAAGTGGGGCAGTATTTACAACCTCAAAACAAGCCCATAGTGACCCACTTCCTTCAGTGAGGCTCCACCTCCTAAACTTTCTAGAACCTTCTAAATCAGCATCAACAGTGAAGGATCACATTCAAAAGTATGAGCCACTGGAATTGTCTCATAGTGAAGCCACGATGATAACCAACCAGCATTACTTATCCCCTACTGAGGACAACAGTTCTCACCTGTGAGGAGTAGGAATGACCATCAGACCCACAAACAGGGCTGGCAGAGGCCATCTGGCATGGCTTACAGGTAGATGTCAGGAGTCCTCGCCACTGTTTATGGCCTCCTCCTGATTCTTTCATACTGTTAAAGAGAAAGACAAAAAGAGAAAACAGTCATACTTAGTGGATTTGATATTTAAAATCACATTTTATATTAAAGTGTTTTTTCATGCTGGTCATATCAACTTTTAAAATTGTATTTTTATCTAATGAGTTTTGTTGCCTGAATATATGTAAGTGCACTGTTTGTATGCAGTGTCCACAGAGGCCAAAAGAAGGTGTCATAGCTCCTAGAACTGGAGCCACCAAGCTTGTGTGCTGGAAACTGATCCCAGGTTCTCTGCAAGAGCAGCAAGTGTTCTTAACCACCGAGCCACCACAGCAACTCTTGAAGTTGAGCTATGTGCTCATTCACATGCATTATTCATGCACACTGTTCTTTACGACAAACTGTTCTGGCAGGCCTCCTGACTTCCCCCTAATAAAACAAGAGTTTAAGTATTTTTTCTGCTAGTAGCATAATGACTACAGTTGCGTTGCTTATGTGAATTCTTTAATTTAATTTATAGCTATGAAATATGTTACTGATATCACCAGAAGAAGCAATCTTGATCAACAGTACAGGACTCAGGTTTCTGACATGTTCTTCAAGGTTGTCCTTGCTTTCCCTTAGGAAGAATGTGAAGGTGACCCTGATTTAATGGATGCTTAAAGAATATGGAATGTTCCATACTGCATCCATGCTCATTTGTCCAGGAAACATAATAAGGATAAGGATTCACCCAACAAGCTGTACACTTTGGTGACCTATGTTGCCATTACCATATTCAGAAATCTACATAGAGTCAATGTGGATGAGAATCAACTGCTGAGAGTCTAATAAAGTTATAAAACTCCCCCCAAAATGAGGGTAGCTTACTTTTAATCAGCTCCAAATAACTGCAAATTTCTAACATCTGCTAGTGCTATGAGAGTCAAATTAGCAAGGTTATTGACAACAAATCCCCTTTGATTGTAGAGAAGTGTCTCAAATGGATCCATTAAGCTTTGATCTAAACAACTTGGGAAAATCCATTCTCTTTAGCAACTTCCACACAGACTTGTTTCCTCGTGTTGACTAAACTACTGGATTCCTTTGTATATTTGTGCGAGCAGTTTACAGAGAAATGAGGAAATGAGTTAGAAACAAGAGGGGAAGTGACAGGGAATCTATAAACTACATTTAGTATTTAGAGAAAAGCAGCAACAGTTAATTGTAATTTTTCTATGGTGAGAATACTCATGTCCAGTGAGAATGAGAAAACGAAATATTTTAAAAGAAATATTTATGCCTTTTCAAGTTTTAAGATTTTTGATTGTTTATTTGAGAGTTTCACTATGTAGTCCCAGTTGATCTGGAACTCACTATGTAAAACATCCCAGGCTGTCCTTAATCTCTCAGCAATCTACCTGCCTCTGCCTCCTGAGTGTTAGGGTTAAACGTGTGCACCAAAATGCCTGTCTAAATATATTTTAATTTATCTATTTTTATTTTTACATATATGAGCCTTTTTTCTGCATGTAAGTACATCTATGCCATGTGATGCTCCTTGAGGCCCTGGAACTGGAGTTATGGAAAACTATGAGCCATGTGGATTCTGGTAACCAAACCCAAGTCCTCTCCAAGTGTAGCCAGTGCCTTTAAGTGCTTAGCCATCTCTCCAACCCTTTGAAATTTTCATACTGTTAAACTAAAATCCACAAAAAGTGTTACCAAAGCAATACTAAAAAGTACTATAAATATTTTCATAATCAGAATAGAAACTGAAATTTTGTTTCAAATTTAGCCATTAAGCGCTCTTCCATTTCTGTCTCCTGCCTTCCCTCTCTTCCTCCCTCCTCGCTCTCTTCTTCACTAGCCCCTTTCATTTCCCTTTCTTCTCCACAAATCACTAGTGTACAGATTGGTATGAAGCCTACATGAAATTCAAACACACTTTCTTCATCTCTAACTTACAAATTATGCTTAGTGACCATATTATAACTCTGGTAGTCTTCAGAATTCATTATAAAAATATAGTGAAGAAAAGTACCCATTCTGTTATTTCTGAAAAAACTTGGGAATGATTGTGTAATTTCTATGTCACATCAATGCCCGAAGCTAAACAAGGTTTAGCTGTCAGGGCTGTCATATGCAGTTTTCCATGTAGTACACATTATAGACCCTGTGTACTATGTCTCTATCATTGTGACATGCTACAATTCTACAATTCTATGTAGTACCTCTGATAATCATGGAAAAGAACTTTATGTGCTTTCAGAGTTTGTGTGTGTGTGTGTGTGTGTATGTGTGTGTGTGTGTGTGTGTGTGTCTTTTACTGATGAAGGTGTGTGAAGGTTAAGGATTGATAATGAGATGTCCTTATCAATTCCTTTTTTACATTATATTATCTCTCACTAAATGTGTACTTTGATTTTTCAGCTAGGCTAGCTGGCCCCCGAGTCCCTGGAATCTGCCTGTTTCTAGCACCAAACACTAGGGCTACAAGTACATAAAGCCACAACTGACTGTTAAGTGAGTGCCATTGATCTGAACTTAGGTCCTCGTGTTTGGCAACAGACTGAGTCATTTCCACAAGCCTTCTAAAGTTATTTGTAAAAATATTTTTATTCATTATTATTATCATCATTATTTTTAATTTTATGTACATGAGTTAATTGCCTTCATGTATGTAAGCGTACCTGTGTGTCATGTAATGCCTGAGGACATCAGAAGATGGCCTCAGATTCCCTGGAACTGGAGTTACTGATGATTGTTAGTAGCCATGTGGGTGCTGGGAACAGAACCCAAGTCCTCTGCTGGAGCAGCCAGCGCTCTTAACCACTAAACCATCTCTCCAGCCTCTCGGAGTTCTTTAATCATAAAGTGTCTCTGATTCCTAATTTGTTCATATTTATAAATGTCTTTCTTCATTAATGTTATTCACAATGTTTTCCATTTGTTCATAAGAAAATGAATTGAGCAGATGGGGTAGTAATTGAACATTTCTTAGATTTCATATCAGGCCATTTTATAACATATGCATACCCAGTCACATATGATTGAAGTCCTTCTTTTGTTCCTTAGTTTTTACTTTTTGAAGGCCTTAGTATAGGAAAAGAAACGTGTTCCAGAAAGAGAAAGAAAGTCAAGGAAGTCTTTGGACCGGACATCATTGGAAGCAGCATGCTTAGGAAAAGGCAAGTTGTTTCCCAGTAACAGGTTGTTTCCTAGCAACAGTAGCTGGAGACATGACAGGTGAGGATGTCAATCCCCTGAGAACATTACTAGCTAAGCGAAACTGAATATTCCAGGGACAGAAAAGACCTTTAACCTCAGAGGATAAATCTAACGTTTGAAGATTCAACATTCAGTTTTTGTACATTTTAAATGTTAATGTGTTTATTTCTTCTGGGACGGGAACACGTGAGTGTGGAAGTCCGAGACTAACACCTAGGAATCAGTTCCCTCCTTCAATTAAGTGGCTCCCAGGAATCCAATTCAGGTTTTCAGACATGACCATATTCATCTTTACTTGCCGAGTCATCTCACCAGCTCGCAATAGTTTGTAATTGTCAAATAGGGGAACGTAATTTATTCCCATCGATTGATGGAACACAAAATTTAGGAGAGCTGAAAAGCTCTGATATCATTTAAAAATTAATTGACCAACAGAAACTGTGAGATGTGGGTCTTTAAGAGAACTATTTTTTTCAGCCAATTCTTTGAAAATCCTAGTTAAAAATCTATTTGCTTTATAATAGAAGCCTCTGCATGGGCATATCCTTTCCTCCAGGAAGAAGCAGATGGATTTTTTGCTCTCAGGGAAAAGAAACATCCGATGTCAATATATGATAAATTCAAGATTTTGATTCCTCTCATAAATTTCCTTTTTAAATTTAACCACACATGCAACTAAGTTGCTTTTTGCCAATATCAGTGTTATATCCCTAAGT